TACATAATTCCATTATTGATATACATTTTAGAATAAAATACACAATAATTATTACAACAATAGTTAACGTATGTATCTCTTTGTCTTTATGCACTCTGCTTTTATTAAGTTCATACGCAAATTCGCAAAATTGTTCCTCTCTCACGATCCGTTCAACTCAATCCGATTACCTCCTTGAGGGTGCCGTCCCATTAAGCACGGATCGGAATGACGGATCGGGTATCTCACTAGAATTGAGCATTCCGTTCCAGTTCCGTTTCGTGACAGTTTTCTCTACCCGTCCCATTTAGCAAAAACGGAACAGAATGTTGCGTCGATCGTTGATCAATATGCTTGATTCATCGATATTTCGTTATTTTGAGCAGTTGAAGCAATAATATACATATAATTTGTGCAATTATCTTGCTGATAATATTGTTGTGAGTTCTCTAAAATATTGAATCGGAACGGTAAAATATATTTTGTAACTAGATTCCTTTCCGTTTTTGCTGAATGGGACGGGTAGAGAAAACTGTCACGGAACGGAACTGGAATGGAATGCTCAATTCTAGTGAGATACCCGATCCGTCATTCCGATCCGTGCTTAATGGGACGGCACCCTCAGACAGACACCAAAATCCGATTAAGCTAGGGAGTTTTTTTGAAATGCACCAACTGAGTACCACTGTTTGATCGGATTGGAAATCCAACTATTTGTCGTAAACACCCAATAAGCATCTTGATCTAGCTTTGACCGTGATAGGCTTTGCTTTGTGCTTCCTTCTTTCTTGTTATTGTTTAAGAAAATTAGAATCGGTTACAATTTTTTAGGTAAGTTATTTACTTTATTTGTATTTGAAAGTAAAATTGTTAAACATTATGAGATATTAAATTACATGTCAATGTTAGACTGTAAAATCAATGTTAATCTATTAATGTGACTGGTATTGTATAGCGAATTCCATCGAATTCTGTACTTAAAAAATAATGGATCGAGGCACTTCTTGCTGCTGGTCATAGCGAAGAACATATGTAACAAAAATAAAAGAACATAGTAAAATATGTAGCCTGCACTTTACAACAGATTGCATTCCAATTGATTCCATCGAACTTTACTAATAATAAAATAATGCAATATATGTCATATTCCATCTCTTTCTTTTTCCTATTTTACCATCGAAATGTGATTTCGTGTTTCAGATTTTTGCCATTTATCCCCCGGGGGCACGCGTGATGTTCATTATAGAGTCCCTATACTAAGAGTGCAAACCCATGTAGCGGAATAGCGTAACGCGGAACGAGAGCAGAACCAATAACGAGCATTCCGTGTTTCTAGAGAATCTCGTGATTGGTTCTACTCTCGTTCCGCGTTACGTTATTCCGCTGCATGGGTTTGCACCCTTAGGGCGGGTTCACACCTTGACGGAAAAGCAGAATGCGGAAAAGCAGTAGCCAATCAAGTAGTCAACTTTCTGTTAGTTTTGTACTATTTACTACCAACGCGAGTTCTGATCGGTTAACTGCTCTTCCGCTTTCCGCTTTTCCGTCAAGGTGTGAACTCGCCCTGACGTAATGCATTGGTCCCAGATAGCCAAATGAGGACAATGGGCGCATTCAGCAGAAAAGAGCGCTACGAGAGCGCTCGCTGTTATTGGTGTATTCTTCTAGATCATCCAATCAGAATTTTAAATCTGGAAGAAAACCCAGATAGCCAAATGAGGACAATATGTTGCCAATTTGCTGTCACTTATTTCGCATTGAATTTCACCAAACTAAAGCCAAGGTGTTTCCACAAACTGTCTGTTGTCCTGACGTTATGTAAAGTTTTCCTTAGAATTCAGCAATCTGTTGGCAAGTTGTCATCATGAATGCTCACTACGTTCAAGGTGTGCTGTCAGTTTGCTGTCGACGTGACGAGTTTATTATTTCTCAATATATACTCTTACAATTTCATAAACTCATGAAGTCTATTTGCCCTCCTGATGCTAACTCAGTTTCAATTAGATTTCAATGACAGCAAATTGTCCACAAGTTGAAAACAATACACGCAGTGCATCAATTTGTCCCATATGCTAAATCTTGCTTGGCTATCTGGGGTGTCGAGATGCCCAAATCTGCTCATTTCCTCCAGCCAATCACGTAATTGGTCACGTGACCAAGTTGGCGATTCTCTCTACTAGAGGTTCTCTAGTCTATGCTATTCAGCTTCTCTCGTATGAGCGCTCTGTCTATCTTATAAGTCTATGGTCGTATTGATCTAAAATATAAACGGTTACATCTTAGCGTAATAAGAAATTTTGGATAATTGAATCAACAGCAATGTAACACGAGACAATAAGATAGAGTCGCTATAAAATTTGCAATTTTTTATTCATTTCTCACGTCATCGTGAATGTAGTGACGCGTGTATCACAAAACAATAGTTACTTTCCATTTACATCGATTCTCAAATAATTCTCACTTGTGACGTTAACTCACAATTGAATGTGCGTTTCTTTTGCATTCTGACAAATGAGATTTAACTGAGGTTTTTACCTAGAAGCTGCACAAAATCGAGATTTTGTGCTTACTGAGCCTTGTAGACTTACTTTAAAATTAAGGTTATAAACCTGTGTTATTTGCTAATTTTACCAAAGTAAGCAAGTAGTGACGTCATTAGTTGCTTTCCATTTATACACAAATGAAACTGAGTCTGAAGTGAACTGAGTATAAAATACTCAGATTAATAATGTTACTACTTGCTTTGGTAAAATTAACAAATAACACAGGTTCATAACCTCATTTTTAAAGTGAGTCTACGAAACTCAGACCCGTATTTAGTCATTTCTCCAATTTTATCTCAAGAGCGTATCAGACGAGATACAATGGAATCGATGTCGAAAATATCGATTAAACTTATGTTTTTCACCTGTTGAAAGTAACCTTTCCGAATTCAAGTCACTGACACATCAATATGACACATACATATAAAAATGGAACAAGCTAATATATTTACATAAAAAAGAAGAATTTCACTATAACTTTTCACTACTTTTTTGAAGGTTATTAATACGTATTATTAATACATATTACAAAATTTTGTTTAAAAACTTGACTATTGAATCGTGAAAAAGAGTATTTTAATTATATCTCGAGACAAATTTCATTTGAGTTCCTCATTTGAGTTATGATTAAAAATATGAAGTAAATCAACTCTGAAGATTCGTCTTTGAACTGTTCCACTACTCAAAATTAGTTTCAGTTGAGTTTCTTAGCAGAAACACGACTATAAATATAAGCCTCAGTAAAGCACATGGTCTCGATCTTGTGCAGTTTATAGGTAAAAACTCAGTTAAATCTCATTTCTCAGAATGCAAAAAGAACACGCATTCAAGAGAATGCGAATACAAGTGAGAATTATTTTAGAATCGGTGTAAATGGAAAGCAACTATTAATTTGAATACTTCACACTAAACTCACTTCAGACTCAGTTTCACTTGTGTATAAATGGAAAGCAACTAATATTGAGTAACATAACGTCCATTTTATCTTCATCTTTAATTTGACTCATTCTGTTTTTCGCTTGTTTATACAGATAATGTAATTTTTCTCGTATCATATATGGATGTTTTGAAATATCGGATGTTGTCATGTGAAAAGCAGGCATGGAAGCAACACAATTGATAGCAGAATAGTGGTTACTCTGTATTTTAAATAAATTTTTCAAAAATAAGTAAAGTACGGACAATTGAACATCTCATTTCCAAGGGTGTTGCTTGTCTTGCAGATGCTAGTTTGTAAGCCAGTATTTGTTTTGCACAATGACTGCTAGCGATATACAAGGTTCATTGAAAGAAGCTCTATATGAAACGTTAACTGGGATTTTGTCACCACATCATGAAACTCGCAAGGCAGCAGAGCAAAAGATTCAAGCTTTGGAGGTGACTGAGGAGTTCGGTATACATTTGACAGAATTTGTGATTGATCCCAACAGTCATTTGCCCATCAGGCAGTTAGCTTCTATCTTGTTGAAACAGTATGTTGAGACACACTGGTGCTTGTTGGCTGAGAAATTCCGTCCACCAGAGCTTGATAATGCTGTCAAAGAAAGGATTAAAGAGTTACTTCCCTTAGGACTTCGAGAATCTATTAGTAAGGTAATTTGTTCTAAGAATTATTTTAACTAGAAATAATGTTTTATATAGGGTGTCAGTTAAAATATTATAAATTTATTTATCAAAAATAGAGCATTTAAAAAATTATTTTGTACAAAAGTATATAACGTTTGTTTGATAGACTACACTAATGTGCACTGATTGCAAATTTTTTTAATGCCACACATTCGGCTTATGCATGTTATATAAGTGCATCCACATTGTCGTATTCAGCAAATAAAAACTAACCCTGTGTAATGCTGAATTTATATTAACTCAGATCAATTGAATGAACTAAGAGTTCAAGAAATATTGCACTGATGTTTCTGATAATACAGTTTGGCATAGCACCAAAATAATTCTGTACTTGCACTATGCCAGGACATTATCAGAGCAGAATCAGTACATATGTGCCGAATTTGTCATTGATATAGAGGACCTAAGATATGGTGCCATTGGTTTGATCTTGGGAAGCTGTTTTAAAATGTCTGAATATATTCATATATATATATAGTCAATATTTTTGCTCGATATTGACATGTCTACTCCAAACCATATAACTTTTGTATGAAACATTTTTCTTTAAGATGCTTTGTTTCCGAGATATAAACTTGTGACACTTTTTTTAACTCTGTACAATCCTGTTTGTATTTTTACATAGTGGTAGAATATTTTATTTTACGTTTGACTTGTGCAAAATGTCAGATAGGACTTTGTCTTAGGTACGAACTGCAGTAGCTTATGCAATATCTGGTATAGCATATTGGGATTGGCCTGAAAATTGGCCTGGATTGTTTGATGTACTTGTTAGCTGTTTGAGAGAAGAGAGCGAATATGCTGTTCATGGAGCGATGAGAGTATTAACAGAATTTAGTCGGGATTTGACAGACGCTCAGTTGCCTAATGTAGGACCTGTTATTCTTCAAGAGATGTACAGGATATTTCAAAGTGAAAATGTAATTTTAATAGAAGATTGAGATGTTTTTTCTACATAGGGACAGATTTCCGAAATACATTTTGTCCAAAATTTATAATTTTCATAAATCGAGAAAGAAAGACATAAGGAAACTATGCGCTCTACAGACAATAATCTGCTAATCAGTAATGTAAAGTATTAAAATTGCTAAACTATTTCTAATAATATTTAATAACAAATGCATTTTGTTTGTCTCTAGTTAAAGGATATCATGCACTTCAAATGTCTAGACTTTTTTCAATATATAAATTGAGTAGTTTAAAATACTGAGTCTTTCAACACTGAACACTATGCCATTTCTAATTCAAAAAATAAAATTTTGGACAAAATGCATTTTGGAAATTTGATCATATTTTTTTAAAATACACTTTTTTACCGTATTTCTAATTTCGCATTTCTTGCAGCAGTATTCGATTAGAACACGTGGACATGCAATTGAAATCTTCATAACGATTACAACTTTGGTTGCTCACACGGGAGCATATGAGAAGGAATTTATAGAGCAGTATCTGCAACCTATCATTCCTATGTTCTGTGAAAAGTTTGTTGAGTGCCTCAGAGTGCCTAATGGTCAAACTAGTGATTGTGGGTTCAAAACAGATATTATTAAAGCTATAAACTGTCTTGTTATGAAATTACCTAAATATGTATCGGAGCTTTTACCTCAAATGCTGCCACCCATATGGGAAACTTTATGTCAAAGTGCAAAGACTTATCAAGAAATAACAGTTAATGCTGATAAAAATATCAATGATAAAGAAGTCGATTCTGATGGTATATATATTATTGTGATAAATTTATATTCTTGTAATTAATAATTAATTTTTCCTTATAAGTATATGTGTGTATATTTTCTAGGCGAAGTGCTTAATTCCAACAGTTTGATTATTGCAATTTTTGAGTTCGTTCAAACTATTGTGGATCGTAAGAGGTTCATGAATCTGTTGGATAATATGCTACCAGAAATCATGTATTATCTAATAGTATTTATGCAAATAACGGTCGATCAGATTCAACAATGGACAACTAATCCGAATCAATTTGTCGAGGAGGACGAGTGTACCTTTGATTATAATGTTCGAATCTCGGCTCAAGAATTTTTAACAGTGAGTACACTCGATATACTGTCATAGATCTGGAAACCAGGAAAAATCATAGAAATGTAAATTGGATTTTTGTAAACCTGGCACCCGACTTTAAAAAAATTAAAATTTTTTTACACAAAATAAGTATTTTATTTATAGTTGTTCGTAGTAACAATAATTTCGTTTGTAATTACTTATGTTAAAAAATATAAAGGTTTAAAAAAATGACTGTCACCCGACATTAACAAAAAACAAAAATTATTAATATATTTCGATTCAAAATCGTTTGTAGTTGTTTGTAATGATTTTCCTTTCGTTTGTAGTTGCACGTTCAAAAGTTATGATAAATTAATAATAAACAAAAAACGTAACTTTGTCAATTTTCAAGATATTCGAAATCTGTTTGCGATATATCCTTTAGTATCATTTGTAGTTATTTGTAGTGATTTTGCTCTCGTTTGAAGTTGCACCGTTCGCGAGATATAATTATTTAAACAAATGCACTACAAGTAAATATTGTTAATTTTCAAGATATCTTAAATCCGTTTACAGGGCTCAATTCAGAATCGTTTATAGTTGTTTGTAATGAGTTTCCTTTCGTTTATAGTTGAGCCGTTCAAAAGTTATGAAAAATTAGCAATAAACAAATAATGTAACTTTGCCAATTTTCAAGATATTTGCGGCATATCCTTTAGAATCGTTTACAGTTGTTAGTAGTGATTTTACTTCCGTTTGTAGTTGCACCGTTCGCGAGATATAATTATTTAAACAATTGTAAAAAGTGAATTTTTTTAATTTTAAAGATATCTCAAATCTGTTATTTTCAAGATATCTTAAATTTCTGATTTTTCATAATTTTTGAACGGCTCAACTACAAACGAAAGGAAAATCATTAAAAAAAACTACGATTCTGAATCAAAATATATTAATAATTTTTTTTTTGTTAATGTGTCGGGTGACAGTCATTTTTTTAAACCTTTATATTTTTTTAAAATTAAATACAGTATAAAGGCTATGAGCCAGAAACGTATAATATCCACTTAACAACAAAGAATGTAATAAATAACTACATATTATTAGAGAATATTATTATAGAGAATTTTATTTGAAGAATTTGATAAACAAACAAAACGACGTTTCGACCTCGCTTAGGTCATCTTCAAAGTTAAAAAATATATATTATATTTATATATATATAAATTTATTTAAAACAATACGCAAATCTTATAAATGATAATGTTATATGTTGCACAAATTCTGGTTGCATCATGAGATGTTAATGATGTTGATTATTAGCATTGCAAGTTGCTCAATCTAATTCAACAAGAGAGAAATGCTCAATTTGATAGTGTAGAAACATTATCAAAGGCTAAGATAATATTATAAAATTAATTAAAATTAAATTGTATGATATATATCAATAAATTGTTGGAGACTGCAATATTAAATATATCAAATACCTTCGTATAATGTAACACAGCAACGTTAAAGAAGTTTTGGCCAATAATTTCGTTATATTCTAGACAATGCGTCAAGATATAAGAGAAGGATGTTATGCCATCAATATTTAAATATGTATATATATTCTGGTAAAATTAGTTCTTATATATTTTCTTATAAATTTAAATTTTTTAATATAAGTAATTACAAACGAAATTATTATTACTACAAAAAACAACTATAAACGAAATATTATCATTTTGTTTAAAAAATTTTAATTTTTTAAAGTCGGGTGCCAGGGGGTTCACGAAGGTGTAAATTGTTGGTCAGGGAAAATTTGGAAAAGTTATAGAAAAATATAAAAAAAAACCAGGAATTTTATAAACTGCTCACAATTCTCTTAAGGGTGCATATATACCTACACCTACATGCATTGAAATGAAGACTATTCTATAATTTTACGAATTTTTTTGTGGAAAAATGAATAGAGATAGAAAAGTCGGGTTTGTTCCATTGTAAAGATGATACTTTTAGCTATTTACCATTAAAATTTTATTTAAAAAATAATACAAAATAGAGTTGTTATTAAAATTTTCGTACGTCATGTTATTCAAAACAAGGTTTACTGTGACTATTGCTGCTCGCACAGGACTTGATAGATTTCGTACTTGACATACCTGTTTTTCAAAATATTGTGTTTGAATAAAATAGCAGCTGGTCAAAATTGATATAATGATTTTTCACAAAAAATTTTGCTCGCTTTTAACGACGAAAAAAATTTAAACATTGTAGGAAAAAATTTTACATCAAGAACTAATTTTAAGTATGTAGAAAAAAGTATGTAAAATTTTAAATCGATTGATTAAGCCGTTTTCAAGATACAGTGGTAACGCGTTTCGAAAACTATGTTTTGAGAAAAACGCGTTTAAAGTTTTATATTTAGTTTAAACTACAAAAACATAAGTTTTTTTTATACTTACGTTGAATTATCTACTCTAGAGCCATAAAGTAAACCTACTGAAGTGGGTGCTTCTAAAAGATCGCTTTGATGTTGACGACGTATCCTTCCTTTTGTTAGCTCTATAAAGCTGGCACGACTAAAGGAGCAGAATCAAATCGGACCTATTGAAATTTTTAGTACTCATTTTGTACTAATTTGTACCATCAAAAATAATTTTGTACTCTGTGCGTTTAAAAAAAAAAAAACGTAGCGCTGCAACCCATTAACGCCTGAATAACATAAAATTTTACGTTGACTTTGACCTCACAAATTTTAATGAAATTACTATCAGTTTTATTCGGAACCAGTTTTTTTATATGTTTTCAGGTGTTCTCTACAAGATACAACCATAAAAAAAATCAAAAAATATCAATTTGTATTGTTTTTTGACTAATTTTCATTAAAAAGCGCGTATTTCACACGTATTTTTTCTACAAAAAGGCCGATTTTAGGTACACATATGGATTCTTCTTACTAAAAATGGCTCTAAAAGTGTTATTAGTGTTTGTACTTGGAAAATATGAAGGCAGTTTTTTTTGTAAAAATGGCAGACCTTGGAAGATAAAAAAATTACAATTTATCTTTTTTGCACACAGTATCAGAGTTGATTAGTTTATTTTACTCTTATAATATACATTATGGGGGTTTTGAGGGCGCTGATTACGATTTTGATGTCAGAATACAAAAATTCAAAATGGCGGTCAAAATATTGAAAGAATTCAATTTTTAGGACAAAACTCTTAATAGGGGGTTTTTGATGGCGCTGATTACGATTCTGATGTCGGAATTCCAACATTTAAAATGGCTGTCGACATTTTGAAAAAATTCAATTTTCAGAACGAAATTTCGCGGTGAGAATCGGGCAACATTTATAATGGCAAAAGACGATACAAAGTATCTAATAATCGATTGAATAGATAAAAAAAGTTACACTCAAAAAATAAGATTTTTGCTGAATTTGATGAAACTTCCCCTTTGTTACAATTTATCCACAATGTGCAATTTGAATTGGATTCAAAACTTTGAAATTGTAAAATCATCAACAGCCAATTCATAATGAGAGACTAGAAAAACCCTTTATTGCCAATTTTCTGCTGAAAAATATCAGTTTCCCCACATTCGTAACTGCTATATAAGATCCGCTATTTTGAATTTTGGAATTCCGACATCAGAATCGTAATCAGCGCCATCAAAAACCCCCTATTAACTGTTTTGTCCTAAAAATTGAATTCTTTCGATATTTTGACTGCCATATTGGATCCGCCATTTTGAATTTGTGAATTCTGACATCAAAATCGTAATCAGCGCCCTCAAAACCCCCATAATGTATATTATAAGAGTAAAATAAACTAATCAACTCTGATACCGTGTGCAAAAAAGATAAATTGTAATTTTTTTTACCTTCCAAGGTCTGCCATTTTTGCAAAAAAAAAATTAAAAAAAACTGCCTTCATATTTTCCAAGTACAAACACTAACACTTTTAGAGCCATTTTTAGTAAGAAGAATCCATATGTGTGCCTAAAATCGGCCTTTTTGTAAAAAAAAAAAACGTGTGAAATACGCGCTTTTTAATGAAAATTAGTCAAACAATACAAATTGATATTTTTTGCTTTTTTTATGGTTGTATCTTGTAGAGAACACCTGAAAACATATAAAAAAACTGGTTCCGAATAAAACTGATAGTGATTTCATTAAAATTTGTGAGGTCAAAGTCAACGTAAAGTTTTATGTTATTCAGGCGTTAATGGGTTATTAAGCAGGACCAATCTAAAAGAAAAACGAAATAAATATGATCGAATTTTTACTAATTTGTACTACACCAAAAAAAAATTCTATACCATTTCCAAGAAAACAGTGCCGCTGCTAGTTTAATATTTAAGCTAGCAGGATCATAAAAAAGAACACAAAGGCAAAAATGAACAAATCTGAATTTGTACTAATTTGTACCATTGAAAATAAGTTGGTATTTTACACAAAACTTATGTAACTCTGCTGCACTCGACTTCAAGAAAAAATATTTTTAATGAGCATTAAATTAAGTTAAGCATTTTTGTAAGTCAAATGTCGGGTTTCACAACCTAATGGTGACTAGGAGATTAAAAATAATTATACAGTTTACATATCTGACAAATTATATTATAAATAACAAAGTAAATAAGTGGCTCTTAAGATAAAAATAGATATTAATAAAAAGGGCAATGAGCTAAGGTAAATTACAAATACAAAAACAATAATACATATAAAACATTTAAAATTAAAAATTAAGATAATAAAGGTTAACCGGACATTTCGACTCAGTTCAAGTCATCTTCAAGCAGAAAGATAAAAAGATAATACTTACAATTAGCTTACCAAATTATTTTCTTAAAAATATATGTACATTATGTAGAGAACCTGTAGTGAGATGTATCCTAGTTTATTTAGTACTGGCCAAATTTCATTAAGCATTGTCGTCAAAAAATATGTAAAGAAATATGAAAACTAAAAAAAAATTTTTTTTTAATTTCGTATTAAAATGTGACATCATGTAAAAGTCGAAGTAAAATAAAATTAATCGATATAAGTAATAAAGTTATATAA